ACGGGGCTAGAGGGCATAGAGGCGCGAACTCGAAGACGACGGGTCTGGGCACGAAACGTCTCGACATTTCCACCTCCGGCTGGATATTAGGCGATAAGCTGGCCATAGGGGTAGCGCAGGGGGTTGGGAAGGGGAGAGTTGAGAAAGGACCGGCGGTTGAGTCACGATAGAGTGGAAGGTGCGAGGAAGGTGGGGCACGTGCACTTGTGTGCCTGTGCACTTGTTGTATACATGTGTGCTCGGAGATTGAACTCAATCTAAACTTGCGACAAACTTTGTCCGGGCCCGGCGCTATCTCTCATACCTCTGTCGATTTGCCATCTACAACCTCCGACCTTGTTCGCGATGGGGCGGAGGTGACGTCCCGAGACCAAACGGGTTACATCGACGCCAAAGGAAAACTCGCCGGCTACGTGAAGAGAAAGAAGAAGCGTGTTCTTTGAAACGAGATCTCTCCGCTTCGAAGGCTCCGAGGCGAGATTTGCCATTTCGAGAATTTATTACGTAACGAGAGTAGATTCCAGAGACGTACGTCTTCAAAAATTCAAATATTTTTCAGGTTTTTGATGAGGAGAGGAATAGGAGAATAGAAAAATTATGTCTACTAATTTATGTCAGACAGTTGCTTATTGTGAAGAAATTTTAATCTGGTTTTGCGTGATGAGGGAACAGAGCATTTTGTTTTGCGCTCGGAAAAATATATACGGGAATAAATCTTTTAATACTGGAAAAAAGTACGGAATTTATGAAAGCATCGTAGCGTTTTTAATAGCCGGGGTCTCTTCACGTATCCGCCGCGCCAGGTCGGCAAAGGGCAAAGGAATATTAACGAGGAAATGGAGTTTCTTCGTCAAATAAAAGGCAGTCGACGGCACAAAGAGCCGAATTAAAAAATTAGAAGTCTGCTAAAGCGCGCCGCGCTGCCGCCAATTAAAAGGCCTTTAATTCGCATTGCTCCAAAAATTCAGTAAAACGCCCACATGCATTTTTCCACTTCCACCCCTTCTGTTCCTTTTCTTTTTTTTTTTTTTTTTTTTTTTTTTTTTTTTTTCTAATTAATTCGTCCCTCGCCGAACGTATCCTCATGAAATTCAAAACCGTTACGGAGTCGTAGCTCCGGAGTAAATCGCGTTTCATCGCGAGGCACCGTCGATGAAAAGTGGAAAGTTCCGCGCGCGAAAAAGGAAGCGCTGATAACGCGCGAAACGAGGTTATCGGGCTGGATGTGCGCGATGTGCTGGATGTGAATTATGTCGCGAACTCTCTCACGATTTCGCATCGCGAGTTTCCGTTGTGATAACAAAAGTTATGCCGTGCCGCGACGTCTAAGATAATTCCGCCTCGCGTGCCGTTACTGTTAAAATTAAACGCTTTCTTCGTAATTTCTTGACAAACTTCCTTTCAGTTCACTCAGATGCTGACGAACATAAAACGCGCAGTCTACGTGAGAAATATTCCAGAGATCATATCTGAAATAAAGAGAAAGTAAACATTAACAATGTAATCGTAAAATTTCAGAGAAACTTTTATTTTTTTTTTTTTATGAAAGAGAAAAATTATTTCAGGTTTTACGGCGAGAAATTTTTTTCTTCATGGAGTATTCAGCGTTGACTGGGGCTTTCTTAGAAGTGAAATGGCATGATCAAGCGTCACGTTATTTGCATTATTTCTCATTCACCAAGAGACCTGGTTAGTAATGACGAAAAAAATAAGGCAGACAAGCTAGATTAATGCGAGACGCATCAATCTCCATCGGTAGCTGACAGTCTTATCTGGCCTGTGGCAAAACATACCCACCATCCATATTCACTTACATCACATTCTTTACCCTTATACATGATCCCTTTGCTTTCGTCTTTCGACGATAATCATCTTCGGACACTCGAGAAAA